CTCTTAACGAAGTCTCGCGGCTCCTTCGGTGTTTTACCGGCAATTAAACTTTCGCCTCTCAAGATGGCGGCGTCGCGTCTTCGGCTTACCTCGTCGACGGGCAAGTGGCTGGGCCCTTCATTTTTTAATCCACCGTTTTCAGTGGATATTTATTCGAGCTTCCCTGGGAATGATTTCCCTTCCAGAAACTGGATCATCCGAAGTGCTCATCTAAGCGTCCCCCGATCTTTGGGATTATCCGTATTATCACTCTGTGGGGATATTCGAGTCGCGGGTTCGTTCGCTTTGCTTGTCAAACTTCGGGGAAACTTGGAACTTGTAGCCACTCGGATCCTCGGGGAAGTTTCGAATCGATCGCTCGAGTGAACTCCAGCCAAGAGCGGAATCCAAATGTACCGGGAATTTGACAAAGATTCCGAGGGCGTCCCCCTCCCGAGGGTGCCCTTAAATAAATATTAAAATTCGCCATCGACCCCTGGGAATATTTTCCAGGGGTCAAGTCGAATTCTTTGATCGTTTTCGACCACTCTCCTGCGATTTTCGGCCTCGGCTGCGACGTGGCCTCTGCAAGTCCGATGTCCTGCCGGCGGTGTCTCCGGGTGAGGGCGGCGTAAAAAGTGCGGCTTGTTTTGTAATTATAAATCTCATTAAAATTCGCGCCGAGCTCGGGAAGCCATTAGCGTTGCCGTCGTGACCAGGTGGAACTACGGTTTGTCGCTTAAGACGCCAAGCCAGAGTTTGGGAGGCCATCAGAAACGGAGGAAAACAATTTCAACTCCCACCCTGGCCGAACCGTACGTCCACCTTCTGGGAGGAGTTCTTCATCCCCTCGATAGGGGTCTACGAGTCCACTTCACCCTGAAGAGCCCCCCGAAATTCGCGTCACGTCTGGATATTACGAAAACCTCGATTGAAAGGAAAATATTTCCCCTAGGAGATATCCCCAAATCCCCAAAAGTCACTCAAGGAGGAAAACATCCCTCCTTAAAAGTTGTACAAAAAAAAGAAATCGTAAATTAAACACAAAATCGGCATTATTTCATTCCAACCTCGTGAGAGGGTTTTCTGGGAATTCCTTCATCTCACGAGTTGGGACGAGCCAACCGTGGGCTGAAAACTGGCTGGATGTGACACGAAGTCAATTATCCGACCGCGCAGATACCACGGAAGAGACAGAAGAGGAAGAGACGGAAACCTTAATGCCGACCGAGCCGGAATGATCCGTCACGCGAGACGTCCGACGATTTATTATACAATGTAGGTACCCTCGGAGGAAAAAAACAGGCGATCGGATCTGACAGCCGTTTTCCGGAAGAAACGGGCCAGCGCGGCCACTCGAGTAAAGCCGCGGAAAAGCGCCGGCGAATCGATACTTCCGCAAGGCCGCAAGACCGCGGAATTCTCCCGCAGGAGCGTTCTTACGTCGCGGAAACGTATCCGAGGGCGGGATACGAGTCGCGATTTTGCGGCTGGGGTATTCCGCGAGGTCAACGGGGTAAAAACGACGTCGCGACGAGCGTCGTCGACGATCCAGCCAGCCGCCGTCGTCGACGACGCGAAACTCCCCCAGAGAGAGGGAGGGGGCAATGGGGGGTAGCCCCCCGAACAAGTCCCAGGAAACTAAGTTAGCGGCTCTTTTACGCTGCACTTTGCAGTTTTCCAGAAGGGAAAATGCAGTTTCGAGGGAATTCTCATGCCGCGCGAGCCGATCGCTCTTCGGATCCCTAGCCCTTAAGAAGCGTAAGAGCCTCTAAGAGACGCTGAAGAGGGGGTTATGAGACTCCGGTCTGAAGGGAAGCGAGGCATCGATACTCCCCGGGACCAACGTATCATGGAAAAAGTGGATATTCCTTGAGAACTCGACGTGGGAGCGAAGCGGGTGCGGCGGAAACGAGGCGGATCAACCGACGATCGGATGTCGCGAAAAAAGGAAATTCCTCAAGATCGGAACCGAGTTTTCTTAAGTGGAGCTCCAAAGGGTGGCTCTTCATTCCCTTCAAAGTGGGGGATACGAGTTATTTCCATCGATGGGGTTCAGGTTGTATATTTTTTCGCGCGTTTTTATTTGTGACTTTGCGAAAGCCACGCGGACCGAAAATCCGGGATCTTTCCGAAGGGCCGATTCCCGAGGTCGGCACATTGCGGCGCACCTATAAAGCTCTTTCCAGAAGTTCCTTTTTCAACGACAAAACGAGGATCCTCGGAGGCTGTAGGGTCCAGGTCGTCGAGTAGAGGTTGGCCCGATTCCGACGTGGTCGAGGTAACGAGGCATGGCGGGAGAGCTCGGGTAAGGCTAGGCCGGCAGCTGCAAGCTCCGACCTCGAAACTGCAAGCTCTAACCTAAACATCGAGCGTCGGGTCAAAAGGGACGGGAGGTCGGAGGTTGGGCTGGCAAAAAGAAGGTCGATGAAGGAGGTGCCGGCGACGACGGTGCATGTCGGCAGGTCGAGGGGAGGGTAGAGGGGGTCAGGGGTCCGGGAGAACTCGCAATGCAATACTGCCGATCCAAAAAAGCGCGGAAAGGCAAACTTTAATGTGAAGGAAGCAACTCCAGAGACTAGCCCCGTTCCGCCCCGCCAGGAAATCCGGAGGGGTTTCCGATCCGCCGCAAAATAAGACCCACAAATAGCTTCAAAGAAACTCTAGAAGATGCATCGCGGTCTTCCCTGCATGGACCGACTCTTGCTCTTGCTCCCCCGTGAACGTGGACACACGTGGATGAGCTCGGTCCTTGGAAAAGTGCACCGAGGTGTAGCGACGCGACACCTTGAAGAAAGTGCCTCTCCCAACCGCCTGCCCCACCTGGATGGCGATTTCGCCTTCACCCGGAAAGATCCTCCGGTGATCCAGCATGGGAGGCTGAGGAAATCGAGAGAAATTCCAGGGATCGAGCCAGATATCGGACGTTTAGCAATTAGATACGTGGGGGAGGAAGAGAGGAAGGATTCCGGAAATGGAACCGGATCGCACCCTGGGGACAGAGCTTGGTTCAGGGTCGTCTTCGGGGCGACAAGATACGTCGTAAAGTGCGAACCGTCACTTAGAGTCCCTATTACTTAGCGAGTACTCCGCGCTATTATCAATAGACGAAATTGAGGGCGGCTCCTCCACCCTCGAGGAGCATCGGGACCCGCGACGCGACTTCCTGTTTCGTCTCTTTCGGCCTCTTCCTCCTGTATTAGGGGTGCTTTTACGGAGAGTGCCGAGCAATTGGTCGATCCGTTGAAAGGGCCGGCCAGAGCTTTATATCGGCCCCGGCGGGATAAGTGGAAGCCCGACTCGGTGGGACCTTCCCCCTTTTTTTCTCTTCCTTCCCCGCGATCCTCGTAATTGAAAGGAAATCGTCCGTCGAACTAATTGCGATTTTTGCCGACAAAGTGGCGCTCGCAACCCCGCCCGAGGGGGGGAGCGACCACCCTGGACCAATTTAATCCTCCATTTTCCGCGGGGTGGTCCACCTGTCAGATGCACTCGTGGAGCGAACGGAAGTGTAAATTGATAACGTCGGCGAGAGGGAGGTCCCGGGCTTTCTCTCTCGCGTGCTTTCTCCCGGGGCTCGGAGGAGCTTCGGAAAGTTCCCCGCCGACTTGACGATTACGTCGCGGGGTGTTAAAAGCCGCGAGCTGTGAAATCTGCAAGCTCCGAGGCGAGGCGACTCCACTCGAGCCTGCTCTCTCGGGGGGTTCGACAGCTTACGAATGGGAACAAGATAAATCGAGAAACAATTTATATACTCTCCATACCATTCAGTGGATCGATGGGAGTATTAATTTAAGCAGGTTCGCCTTTGAAATCAGGAGATAGAAAATGTACGAAAGACTATCGATGAACACCGCGAAATTGGAGCATTCGCGAGCGCCCGAGTACCCCGACGACTTGTCGTTCCTTCACCGGAAAGATGGCGTCCAATTTGACAGAAAGCACCAGGAGGACGTGAAATGACACGAACCGTAAAATCTAGGAGCTTACGGCCCCGAAAGGGCTTACGGGCCTGGGGCCACCCAGCCTCTTTAGCGGCCACCGACGCTCCATCAATCCTAATGCAGCGGGATAGAAAAGTTGCCTTGATGAACGATTTAATGAGCGTATCACGAGCCATTATGAAAGGCGTCCGCAGGCGGCGGCCGCGTCGTTATTATCACGGGGGCGGAATTTCATGGCGCAATATACGAGGGGCCCTTAATTACGACGCGGCTTGCCGCCCATTGTGCGACGCTCCTTACTGCCTAGATCTTCCTCGCAAGCTCTGCTTCCGTAGAGAGCCCGTCGACTTTTATGTGTCCCGCAAACGCGTTGTACGAATACGCGAGCAAGGTTTTACGTACGTGGAACAAGGAGACGGATAATTGTTCCGCGTCCTGGTCCTGTAGGAGGAGAGCTCCGCCCTGGGGGCAACCCACCCCGACGTGCAGGAAGAGGCATTCCAGGAGGCACCCCAACCTACGACCGTACATGAATACTTAAAGAAAAGATTTCCCCATTGATTAATTATACGAATAAATATATATATATATATATATATACACATCGGTTGAATTTTAATATCTAAAAAGTGAGATCAAATTAAAATGTATGGGTCCAAAATCGGAGATCACTTGTCAAAGGGGGTCGATCAGAGGATCGTTCTCCTTGTAACACCTCATAGCCATCCCTGAATGAGGGAAAATTTCATTTTACAACCCTCTCGGACGACCTAATCTCCCTCGTAAAGGTGTCTCCCTAGGACACGCGGTCCATCCCCTCGCGGGTTATAAAGGCGTCCCGCAATCTCCGGACGGGGCAAACGATCGCCGGGGGTAAATTAAAGTGCGATTTTTCACGGAGCTTGCGGCCGCCCAAGTCAGCCGGATTCGTTCCTCCAGCTCAGCTCGGACCGGTCCGGGACCAGTTCCGAAAGAGCTGACGCGTCTTTGCTCCGAATTCGGAGGCTGGCTCCTCTTTGCGTGAGATGAGCGCCGCTCGGCTGGACTCAAACGATCCTTCCGTTGGTTTTCTTGCAGAGTCTACCGCAAACTCCAGCAGGAGGTGTTGGTGTCAAGGGACTAGGAGCAGGAACCGGAGGTCCTGCCCAGGGTCTTGGAATGGTCAACGGGGCCGCCGCCGATCACCATGATTTAAGGGACGGCGCCGGCATAAGCACCGAGCACGTAAGTTTTGCAGAAATTAATTCACCCCTGAATCTCATGGACAATATGAAACACGACTAATAATTTCTGGACCCGTAATTTGGCCCGAAACTACCGAATTTCCTGATGCGAACCGCGAATGCGCGGTTTTTAGATATAACCCTTACATGACATATACACGATATAAATGTGCCGGCCCCGCAACGTGGTGCGCGCTTTTTATGGACCCCGCAAAAGCGTTAAAGTGGTATTAAAATCAACACCGTTTCATTGCTGTTTAACTGCGGTTTAAAATGGGCATTAAAATCTACAGTAAAATGTGCCTGTGTGGCTGGAAGCAGTCCATACCGCGATGCAGAGCTGGATGGAGAACACGGCTTGCGATGGGACGAATAAGGGCCATTTTCTGGATTTAATAAATATTTCTCGATTTCTCTATGTCGATTAAAATAGGGGATTCGATAGAGGGCAAATATAGGGTCGATCGATTCATCCGAATATGCAACGAGGCACATCTTGTCGCTCTAAACACTATTTAGATCATATGGCTCGACTTACACCCCTCTGATGAACAGCTCAATAGCCGTTCCGAAACTCACTCAATGCCGTAATTTCGCGGGAAATTTAATTGGATCCGTACGGTCCGGTAGAAGCGAATTAAATTTTCCTCGAATTAAATTAGATCTCGTCCGGCGGGATAACACTCCTTTTTAATGCTACGGGATCGGATTTAAGCCATCGACGTCCTTCTCGCCTCGTTCCCCCAGGGGAGTAAACGCCCGAGTTTCCCTCGATGCAGATCACGTGCGAATGCGTTTTCTTTCCTCGTCCATTAAATCGTCTTATCCGCCGTACAGCGCATCGTTACAACGATATTAAAATGCCACATCCATCCAAAGAACGCCCCGTCAAATCTATTTACGAGGCCATTCCGCGACTTCGTGACTTCCCCTTTGTGAGGATATTCCGAGGGGGCCGCCACCTTCCCGAGGCATGCCCGAGGACTGCGATTTAAAATTCAGCATTTAACCCCGGGCTGCGTTTAATAGGCCTTCGTATTTACATCGAGCAAGCCTACAAGAGGAAAGTCCGAAACAAAACGACCGAAAATCAATTCGCCCGTCAGCGGTGAATTTTCTCAAGCCCAACGAAGAGTGGATCCCTAGCAATTACAATTTGCAATTTCTGAAGCCGCCATCCCAGAAACGAAAATGGACTCGGTGCCGTGGAAAATTATTCTTAAATGCCCGAAAACCGTTTGAACTCGGTTCCCACCCTGGACAGGACTCCATGGAAAGGATGCCGCAGGAGCTGCGAGGATTAAACTTTAATAAACTGTTCTCGCAGCGCCGAGGGCGTCCGTCGACGGCTCTCTCCATCCCTTTCTTTCCACCCTATCCCAGGGTTTCCGTCCTCGTCGCCCTCCTTCGGGGCGCATTTTCGAGTTGATCCAGCGAAGAAGAAGGGATCCACGCCATCTCCACCCCGTAAAAAGTCGGCGCGAGGGTAACAAGGTAACTGGCCTAGTCTACGGTCGGGGCTGGCTGCATATTTCATGAATACACCCCACCTTCATCATGGATCTCTTACTCCTCGTTCCTTCTTACCCTTTACCTCGCGTCTTCCGTCTTGCAGCCCGTAATTTTCCCAATTTCGAAGACTTTAACGGGGTAACCGATTCCTGGGAGAAAATTCCTCGAAGAGGTTGATTCCGATTAATTAACGGATTTATTCACCGATTTTTCCAGGGAATTATTACCGTTCCATTTGATAGACGGGAATAATCACTTTCTTTAACAGCTGTTCAGGGATGCTTTAGGATGCATTTCCGAAATTTCCTTGTTACCAGGGATCCTTTTTTCTTGTCGTTTCCGAAGAGGCGGTGGATCCCCCTCGGGGGTGGTTTTTCGCCAACAAGCCGCGCTTTTCCGAGGGTATATTTCGCGGCGACCGAGAGGATAGCGAACTGGAAAAAGAACCGAACGTTTTATTAAGCCGGATACGTAAAAAGTATAGCGCGATGGGCGGCGGCCAAGCGAACGCAGGATGGAAGAGAAGGAGAGACGCCGGTAACAAAAGCGTAAGCTTCGCGGGAAGCTCCTCTTTTGCCACAAAAATACGAGGCCACGTGTGGTTACGGATACCGGAAGTGACCATGCGGTTCGGTATTATTAAGCACTGAGAGAAAATCCCCCCCTGCAAAGGGGGAGTTCCGAAATACGCGAGAACCCCTCACCATCTCGTCAAGCACTCGAAATTGCTATGAATTATACCGCACCGTTGAATCTCCACATTCCTAACGATTTTAGCAACTAATATTTTAATGTTTTGTATTTCTTGTCATTCAAAATCGAGGTTTCTCGACGAGTCTCGCAGCAATGACCGGAAGAGGCGCGTCTAGAAGGGAATTGAACGCGCATGCAACAAAGGACCTCGGCGGTCGATTTTTCCCATGCCGAGAAATAATACTCAATTGGCAAGCGGCAACGGATGTCGGAAGTGACCATACGGTCCGGCGTTATTAAAGTACCGAGGAAATAAGAAAACACCCGCTCTGTGCCGAGCTCCCCGGTGAAATGAGAATTTCTCTCCGTCAAGACTTTCACGAGAGGCAGCACCTGATACGGATATTTCCCAGTTTTGTACGAGGGAAAAGTGGAGTTTTCCGTAATTATGGCGTCTCGCAGCGACCGCTGGGAAAGGCGCCGCTAACAGGAATTTTGTAATAACTTCTTAATTGTCAAAAAAAAAGTCGACGGATTTTCGCCTTCGAGCGGGACACCTCCAAGAGGGGACATTTTTTCAGAAAGCGGTGGAGGTGACGAGTACCTTGGGGGTGGTTTCCCGCGCGAAGGGAAAATGCAGAAATTGTCTCGTCGCGAAGAGATATTTCCGCGAAGGACACGCGAATCGCCTGTAAAACCAAAAGAAGCATAAGTGTCTGCACGTTCCCCGGGAGCGAAGAGATATTTCCGCGAAGGACACGCGAATCGCCTGTAAAACCAAAAGAAGCATAAGTGTCTGCACGTTCCCCGGGAGCCAATAACGCTTAACCGAGCGGGGTGACGCGGTCGCATTCATGGTAAACCCCTCCATCTTGGTCCCCTTACAAGGCGCAGCTTCCCTCTCTCGGTTCGCCCCGACAAGGATATTTCGTGTGACTCACGACCATCGAGGACAGTGGGCACGTTCCCCTCGGGTTGGCTTTATTAAAAATCGGGAAAAACAACGGGAGCAAAAATCAAATCGCACGTAGAAAAGGAGCAAAAGATGAAAAAAGAATTCCGAGCGAGAAATCGGGATGAAATCTCGACCCCGAGTGATGCATGCGATGCCCTCATGGCGCGGAGAATTAATCAGGGAGAATAATGTTCTCCCGCGGGTAGAAAAAGTCTACATTCCGCGACAAAATACAGGTTTAACAAGGATATCCTTGCCAAAGGATTGCTCTCTTGGCAGGGCTCCCTTTATTAAAAATCAAGGAGAACACGGCGGAGGGGAAACGGCAGAGAGAGGGTTGTCATACCGGGACGAGGTTTTAAAGCGAAGCCAAGCCACGGGGGAATTAACGGGAAGAGAGGGCTTGAAAAATGACGGGAAGGAGTGGACGGGAAACATTCCTCCCAGTTTTGTGGGGGAAAAGAAAAATAAAGGAAATAGAGAAAACGAGAGATAGGCGCTCTCTATGGGAGTGGAACAAGGTGATGAATGGTCCGGCAATGGTGGCTCTTAATCGAAGAGCAAAGGACCCTGTAGTCATCGAGCGAGTAAAATCGTGTAAAGGGGGAAAGTGATTCCTTATTCTTGGCCTTATTCTTTTAATGAAGCCAAGATAGAAAGATGCGAAAGAAGAGCGAAGTGATAAATGGTCCGGCGATCATTACGCTCAACCGGGTACCAAGATGCAGGACAAGAAAGTTACGACGGGAATAAAGCACGGCTTGGATGAGGATCGGAGACGTACGAGATGACAAATAGTCCAGAGATCATTACGTTTACCGAGTGGATACGGCGTGATGGTTGATTATCGCCTTACTCCCCTGCTAATTGAAATGTCTTCCATTACTCCGCTTCCCCTACGCGTTCCGAAATGCGCGATGCATATTCCCCGGCGATCCGACATCACCGACCCGAATTAATTCTCCCGTCCTGTATATTGTTAATAAACGTGCGGAATTAAATTATTCCTACCGGCTGCACCTTGACATCTACAGCTAATCATGGTGGGAAATTATTAATCGATCCGCTGTTTTCCGTCCTCCTTGCCCCTGGATTTTTTTTCTTCTCCTTCCCTCTGAGATCGCAGAGTCCTCCGTAAGTCCGGGTAAAATTCCGCATCGGGGACAAAACGGAATCGCGGTCGCGGGACAAAACGGGCTTGCAGCCATTCAGGCGCCGAGGGTTGATCCGCGTGGGTTGTTCCGCTCGGTTGGGACTGTTTTGCTCGTTATAATTTCTCCGCTTGTCCGGCAGAGTAACTCGCGTTTACGTCTCGGTACTTCTTCCCTTGCGACCAAGCAATCCGTCCAGCCTCATTCAGCCCAGGTGGTTCTCGCACCGAATTTCTATGCGAGGTGCTACAATTGTTCCGCTCTCTAAATGGAGCTCCGCCGAGATTCGCGCTTCCCTCCCGCGGTCTCTTTCCGTCATCTATCACGTGGCCTACATACGGCGACGTTTGCATTGAACTTTTCAATTAACGCGTACCCGGATTACCCTCGATAATAATTTCAAGGGAGCGAGATTCCCGGTGAAGTTCCACAACGAGAAAACCAAGGGGAAACTAGTCCTGAGGAAAAAGGAAGAGGAAAGAAAGTATCCTCTGTTCGCGACCCGGAACATCTCCGATGGTACACGACCCGGCGAGTCCTTTCCTTTATTTCTTATCGAAAAAGGGACGAGACTGCAGACTGGTAAGGGTGGGGCGTCGAAAAAACCGCGACATGCCGTTTCTTTATCGGGCAGAGTACCGGGCATTGTCATTACCGGGAGGAAACTTTTCCCAGCATCCGGTCCTTCCCACCCTCGCGCCGATGACGGCGTTCGCGTAGTCGACGTTCATTGGATTTCAGTTTGTCAAGTTCCGGGGCATTTTTCACTCCCTCTCGTTTAATTTCCATCGGGGCTCGCATCTTTCACTTCCGTAAGCCCCTGGCTAGTAAAGCCTACTCCGGAGTCGCCTTTAAGTCTCGATCGTCCCATAAGTGTCGTAAAGCTCGGCGAGAAGTTCCCAAGTTCCGGACGCGCGTCCCGATGTGCTGCTTATTCCTCGGTGCAAGTTTAACGTTGATGGCGGACTTTAACGGCGTTTCGGGGACCGCCGTTAAATTCGAAGGAGAAACATTCCATCCAAAATCCGGGGTCCATCGGTGGGCACCCCGGATGCCGCCTCCGAGCAACAAAAAGCGAGGGGATCCGAGTGGAAAGTGGAACCAGGAAGTGGACAGAAAGTTGGAGAGAGTCCAAACATCCGATAGGGCTCAACGGATAAAGGATATCCCGTCCTGTTCGGTTCTTGTCGTCGGAGATCCCTCAAGATCGACCCCTGCTTCCGGCTCGCCTGCAGTCGACTTCCGCCCCTGACCCCGGCGTCGCTTTTCCGGCTATTCCCGAAGTCCCGGGATTTCCTTCGGGACTCCCTGCCAAGCGAGGCGTCCTAAGATCCCTTCCATTCCTTCAATCCTATCCCTGCTTCCCAAAGAGTCATCTCGCGTTCGGAATAAACCACCATTCCGAGCGAATTTTATGTTCCATGGAACCCTGTATGATCGCTCGGTAAATCCAGGAACTCGATTGCGTTTCGCACCAAGTACGACAGGCAGTGACCCAGTCTCTATTCGCGAAATAACGCAAATTTAAACTGGATCCTCGAAGTATAGATTTTTTTTTCTCCACTTTCCGGATGTCTAGGTCAACCAATTGACCTGTACATACCTAGACCCGGGATCTCCTTCGGGACGTTCCGCTCGTATCGACCCGGCGGTCCGCGTTTCCGGAAGTTCCGGAAGTTCCGGGAGTTCCGGAAGTGGCCGGCACGAGCCACCCCGTTCCAGTGGCGCAGTTTAACCCCGATTCTCAGAGTGCCCCGTTTGCGTTTCAGGCGTTGGTCTACCGTGACGGTAATCTGGTGTCCGGGTCCCTGGAGGCTCTGGTGCAGCACATGGTTCCGACCGAGGAGTATTATCCGGATCGTGCTTACCTCTTCGCCTTTCTGCTGAGTGCTCGGCTCTTCATCAAGCCACACGAACTGCTGGGCGAAGTCTGCGCCCTTTGCGAGCATCAGCAGAACCTCAATGGCGAGGGCGGCAAGGTAAGTCCTCCTCCGGTACTCGATGCGTACGACGTCGCGTCTATCCCTTGGTAGCCCCTCGGTAAACCCTAGGGAACTCTTAAACCCGGATACCCTGAGAGCATTGACTCCCACGCAAAGCCAGAGAACGTCCCATCAAATCCCAAGGTGCATCCCGATGCCCTCGTGGACACATTTCAGTACGCTCTCTACCGAGTACCTTTTGTCGCTTCAGGAACGACTTCACCGATTCGTGCCGAGACTGGTGCAGCTCCTGGCCGAGTGGACCGAGACCTTCCCCTACGACTTCAGGGATGAACGAGTAATGGGCCATGTCAGGTCGATCACGCAAAAGGTCGCCGCAGTGGATGCAGCTGCCCGGCAGGAGGTCTCCGCGCTTCTCCAAAACCTTCTTCTGAGGTTGACGGCCCTTGAAAGGTACGAGGAGGGACTCGCCCGGCTTGCCACCGAAGCCGCCACCGAACAACTCACGCAGGTACGTCGGAATCCACATTTACAAATTTTTATCCACCGCATATATCTAATCTCTATATTGACTACCAATGCGCGAGATGTGGATCGCTTTTTTTTCTTCAATGTTATTCGAACACCCCGAATAAACAGAAAACCGCTGCCGGGATATCGGGCGTCGTATCCACGGACGTTTCCACTTTCCACCGCGCAATCGGATTTGGCGGAACTTTCTAAATTTCTCCACTTTGCGAGCTCGAAATCGCATCGAGCTGCGAAGGCTTGCAAGCGCCCCCCTCGGTTAGCCTAATGGTATTACGTTAGTTTCGAAGCGAGACAGTAACTATTCGGTTAATTTGATTACCTTGTGCACTATCTGCCACCGCGCGTAACACCTACTAATAAAGCATTTTCAACTACGCTACTTAGTTAAATATGCTCGAGATCGGAACCCCACGTGAGTAATCGGTAAGGGGTTGGCACTTTCCCTGGGAGATAAGAATTTAGAATTAATTGCTTCATCTGAAATTCGTTCGATCTTTAACGGGCGGAAGTTTAAGGCCCTCCTGGGCGGATCGATGAGACATTGGCACTTCCCCTGAGGAGATGAAAAATGTCGCAATTATCGGTTCAACCGAAATTCGGCCACTTTCGCCGGATGCGCGACGGCTCTCGCGGCGAAAGGCGTCCATCTTATCCCGGGCCGAATCGATCCGGCAATTTCAGAGTACTAAATTCCGCGTCGCGACGTCGAGGGGGCTCCAAGACAGCTCGCGGAGTTTCGAAGGAACTTACGACGCCCACTCGTTACGGGCGAACACCTCGGCTTTCGACTTATTAAACTGCACGCTTCTCGGCCCGTTTTTTAAAGTCCTCTCGGGGCTGACGCGACCCCCCGGGAAGCTTACAACTTTTCAGCGCCCCACGTCCCTCTACGTGTCCGACGTCGACGTCGACGACGTTCAAGTCCGCCATCGAGGACGCTTTACAACTCGGACGCCTTTGACGGGTCGCCTCAATGCCTCGGTTATGGCCGATGTCCGATCGTGCCTTTTCCACTTTACACCCTGTTCGCGTCTGACCATTGATGCTCCTCATCCCCTGTTCGTTCTATCCGAGAAAAAAAAATCAGAAAGGAATATTTTACAGAATATAAATCCACGTGAGAGAATTTGAGAAATCGATAGATGGCACTATAACCAAGCATCTGACCATTAGCGCCCGTCATCTCTCATTCGTCTTCTCCTACACACAAAATTGGAAAGAAATATTTTCGAAAATCGAAATTCATGTGAAAAAAAATGGAAGATTGAAATTGATAGATTCGCGTAACCGTAATGATCCGTGCTTTACACCCAGCACCTTGATCACGAGGACGCTTCAGCTTCGGTTACGACACCCGATCGGGAAGCTTTCCTTTACACCGACGACGCCATAACTCCTGACCACCGGCGACTCCACTTCTGCCGGTGCTTCGCGGCTCCTCGTTTTTCCTTACTGCTCATAAAATAATCCTCGCTCTCGGATTAACCGCGGCGACGTCATTAGCCGTTTCGTCCTGGGCGCACCTATTAAAAAACTTGAACTCGAAGGAAGCCGGAATCGAGACATAAGTTGGAGAATGCATTTCCAGGTTTCGTGAGCGAAATAAAATGGCGTCGCGTTGCCAACGGGAAGACCTCGCGTCTTGAGCAAGAATAGTGTTACCTAGGGACGTAAAAACTTGCGTCATTTCTGGTATTACCCTTCAATGCGTTATTATGCATTACTCGACCCCCGGATTCCGCAAATCGCGCCACTTTCCGCGATTCCGAGAGCTTGCAAAGCTCGCGTCTTCCGCCGTTCCCTCTCGGCGCGTTATGAGGTCTTTTTTTGTAAGCGAAGTTCTCCCGTGCCTCCGCGAGCTTTTCCTATTTTGAGGGAGAGCTCGTTTTGTGCCTTTTTCGCCTATTTCTCGCCGGAGCGAGCAGCGAAGCGAGGGCGTTAATTGTGTTCGCTCGTTATTAGCGACAACGCTGCGAGAAGGACGAGGGGCCGGAACACCGGAGAGGGAAGAAAAAGAGCGAAAGCTCCAAGCCGGAAGGGCGGAGAGACGACGTTACGCCACCAGAAGGTGGTCGGATGAAATCGTTCCTCGCGATTTTACACCGGTCGACGCCCGTTAAACACTTTATCGAGCGCCTTCCGAACTTCCTCTCCTCGGCAACTCGATTCTTTCAGAAATTAAGGACTCCTTTCTGGCGCGTCTCTTTTTGCTTCTTTCTTACCCAACAGCGCCAAAAAGAAGTATTATCGCCCCAAACAGGATATAAAATCGTAAAATGTACACCTGCACAAATATATCGATTTCTTTCCCGAGTCTGATAACACGAGATTTCGAAATTTTCGGGAGTTTTCCGGAATTCGTGGATTCATAGGAATCCTGAAATTCTATCGAGGAACATCTCGGCCATGAATTATTGAACCCTGTTCCTCGAAGGCCCTCATTTGAATGTGACTGATCCCGAGGCGTAAACTAAAGAATGGAATCGAGAATTTCTCACCTGATTTCCCTTCGCCTCTATTCCCTTACCTGGACCGGGAGATCAAAGGACGAATGAAACATGGAGAAAATCGTTGAAAAATCACCACGATTTGCTAGCGAACCGCTTGCCAAAGGCAGAGTTCTGTCAGGGAGACGTACAAGAAGGATTTCTTTGGAAGAACTCATTTGTTGCTTGAATTTTTATTATAAAAGGGAGCTGGTATCCTTCGAGCATGGAGGTGAAGGACTTGATCGTTGCTGAATAATTCTCGAGGGGAATCGCGAGAACGCTATTCTCTTCCGGGGACAAAAGAATGCAGAGTTTTCAGGGTGATTTTAAGATGCCGGAGAGCGGAAAAATCCAGGAGCAGGGGCGATCTCGAAATTTGGAAAAATAAATCGTGTCGAGTCCTCTCGACGCGACGGGAGGCGCTCGAGGAGGTCGCTCGTCCTTCCGCTCTTCGGACGAAAACTCCGAGTTGGAAAATTATTCGAGGGCGTAATCCTTCGACTCCGACCCAGGCTCTTCGTCCGAAGAGTTGGCGCATTATCCCGCTCCCAGGAACTCAGGCAATTCAAACTTTATCCCCTGACGTAACGCCCACTGGAGCAAGCATCTCCGGGTCGCGCCACGTAACACTTTACGCGCATCATTCGCGACGTTCGCAAGCTCGATGTTCCTGTCCCACAATGGAGACTCGCCCCGTTCCGTTTCATTTCTCCTCGACCCCCTGTAGCCCCGCCTTAACTTCCGGTACCCCGAGAAATCGCTTCCACCGACGTAATCGACCGGATATGAGATGCAAAGAGCACGAAAACACTCCGGCCGATTTATTTCCCCGCTGAAGGTTCCCCGGTGCCGAAGGTAGACCTCGAGCTTTACCGCCGAGCCGTTAACAGCTTCCAAAAGTTGGCGCGATAGACAGTTCGCGGCGACACGTCGGGCAAGATTTATCGGAGAACCCGGGGTAATTGACGTTAGTCCCCCTCTTCGAGGGGGGCCTCTTCAGGGCTCGTTTCCACCTTTTGCGGTCGACTCTTTCCGAAGTTCGCTACGTCGAGTCGAGACAGAGTTGAGTTGAGAGAAAGGGGCACAAAAGAACATTCAAGAAAATCCAGGAAGTCTGAGATTAGACAGCGAATAAGTTACTAAAAGTCAAGAATATTAATGGTAGATCGATCTCGTTAAATTGAGTGAACCGGTATTTTTCATATCACTAAGTACGAAAAAATCCATTTAAATGTAGAATCGACAAAATATAGAGATAACTCATTTCTGGCAGTTATGAGTTGCACGACCCTGCCCGTAAGCAATCTCCCAACTCATCTCTGGTCGAAGACTGCACTTAAGAGCGCCGCAGACTCCCGGCCGTGGGATCGATCCCCGGTCGGGGAGAAACTTTTCTTTTTTTTTCCCTTTTTCTCTCTTCTTTCCATTTTTCTAGACTCCCCTGCCACCCGAAATTGGTTTCAAATTTAGATCTCCTCGATTTTAGATAATTAAAAACTTTTTATTGGGTTCCTTTTTATCTTCCTATCGGGGAAGAGAGTCTTCTAGGAGGTCGGGCGAAGCCGGAAAATCGGAGGTGAAAGGTTTCCAACGTTCTTAGCGAGGAGATTCTCGGGACCTCCTTCCTTTATCGCTGAGAAGATCGTCCCCTTCTTCCGCTTTGTGCTCGGATTGATCGCAGGGGGAGTTTCCTCCTCGTCGCCCTGAAGAGACGCGAATTCGGTATCGCAATTTTCTTGGGACGAGCCGCAATTGCGGGCAATTTCCATATCCTTCGTAACACTTCAATGGCTAAATGATAATTACGCCGGCTCGTCCGACAATTACCTCCGACGAAGGGACGCCGATGAACTTGACAAATTGCCGGGTCCCACGCACTCCTCTCGTTAGGAACCCCCTGCTCGGTCTGCGAGGATTGCGATTGGATATACTCCTTGTTAATAATTTTCCGTCTATTCCGGGATATTTAAACACTATTGCTCTCCAAAGACTCCATTTAAAAATCCTCCACCACTTCTGCCTCCCTCGAATTAGATAGACCAAATTCAACGACCTCTTTCCGTGAATTCTTTCTTACAATACTAACGTGGTACCATTTTGTCGGAGATTTTCGAGAGCGAATGTGGGACACGTCAGGTCGGCGGAAGCAATTTTTGAAAAATTCCCTCCAAGTTTCTCTGGAAAGTTGTCCGGTGCACTCGACTTGCAGCCCCTTCCGGATCTCCTCCGGACCCTGAAACGATTCTTATTATCATCCTTATCGGCATTCACGGGTCGAAGGGTATTTTGGATATTTTGTCGAAATTGCTGACGACGTCCAAAGCACGATTCCGAAAGCTCTCCCAATTTCACCAAGGTGTTCCGGCATTGTCGCAAGAAGGGACGGCGCTTTCTCAAGATAACCCGAGAAGCTTTCAACTGTCGAGCCTGTTTCCGCTCGCGGAGGCTTTAATCTTCCATGCTCGTGGTTTCCGTGGGTTAGGTTAGGTTTAAGAGGTCTTCCGGGGCACGATTTGAAAGTGGAGAGGAGGTCTGGCGCATTATGCAAGGACTTCGAGTCCCGCGGTCCAAAAAGGCTCCTCTAGGTCCTTTGACTGTAACACCTGGAACCAAAAATTAATCCTTGCTTACGATGTGAAATAATCAGTTATCGAGACTGGAACCTTGACATTAAAAATATACACCTTCACAATTAATGCAACAGAACATTTCTATCGTTTCCGGGAGAGCAGGTCAAGCGATCCTCTTTATTCCGGCCGATTGCCGGGGTGAAAAATGCAAGATTCATTTTTAATGGCGAAAGTGCGCCCGGGATAGGGATGGAAAAAAAGGGGAATCGTCGTCAACACACGGGAAGAAAATTATTGCGCCACCGCCGGACGTAAATCGAAGTTAATGGCAGCTCGGAACCGAGCGCTACGGTAATTTCGGAACACGGTGCCGTACTTCGAAGTCGTTCGTTTGCGTTCGAACATAAACTTCCACGAGCTGTTGGACTCCCGGGGATTCCGGTAATTCCGATCGGAAATGTCGGGCCGCGGGATTTTTTGCCGATCGGTCCGCGGAATTAATGATGAAACTGTAAAATCTCTCCGGCGAGCGAGAACTCCCGAGGGAGAGACGAGCTCCAGATGTACCCCGTCACTCGGGATCCCCTGCGCTTCGCATAAAGTGGATTCTCGGTTATAGGGAATAAAGATGACAGATTCCTCCTTATACGAGGGAATAAAGATCGAAGATCAAAGATATACCCGGCGTTATTCGAGAAAATCGGAAATCTCTTTCCCGAGGCGGTCCTTTCGCGGACACTTTCTCTCCCCCGGCCTCCACCTCTCGATCGTTTCAGGGGGAGTTTCTTCCAAGGAGAACTTCCTCGCGAAAGACCGTCTCCAGACTGTAGCTCCGCAATAAACGCGATAATTAAATTAGAGAGTTTTTAATTAAATCACGGAGATACTCGACCGACACCAAAATTCCGCTCGTTACGGGAATTAATGGCGGAGAGAGAGCTCGATCACTTCTGGGGAGTTGCAACCCCGTTGTGGCCGCAGCATCCGAGAGTCCCCAAGCTGGCGACGCACTTTAAATGGAAATAAGAGACCTCCTCGGAGAACCGTCCTCCAGGGACCTCCCTCGCCTTTTTCGCGGCTATTATTCGATTCTTGACGAGTTGTCTTCCGGGTTTCCAGGTGGACGTGACGGAATTGTGTCCCTCGGCCACGGTGCTGGCTCAGCAGTTGACCCACGTCGAGCTCGAGAGGCTCTCCTACATCGGCCCCGAAGAGTTTGTCCAGGCCTTCGCCAAGGTGAGTTTCGAAATCTCCATAGATTTTCCTCTCACCCTGTGTTTCCGGATTCACCGTCGGTTTCAAAACGTGCTTTGGCATTTTCCTCAGGAGTCGCCGCACCTGGAGACCTCCTTCAAGGACATGAAGAAGACCAGGAACCTCGAGTCTTATGTCCAGTGGTTCAACCGCCTGAGCTACTTCGTCGCCACCGAGGTCTGCAAGGTAATGAATTCTTCACTTCTCGAACCTCCTCTTCCTGTCTCATTTCCCTGGACCCCTTTCTCGCTCCCTCCCTCGGCATCCAAGTATCGACGGATCCGCATTTATTCCCCGCTTTTTCGAATTAATTTTCCTCGAGTCGGTCCTCGAGGAGTCCCGCAGGAAGCTCTGCAGCCTCCGGATTATGAGTATCTCTTGAGCCAAGTCAGACGGAACGGAACGAACTCCAGCTATCTCGAAGGTAATCCCTCGGGATCATCCCCTGGAGCCGCACCTCCTAGACCCGGTTTGTACACCCAGGAGTGAAGATATCACTCGGAATCGCCCCTCCATGGAAGAAACGCGCGCCATTAAATAAAGAAAAATAAATAATCGGATATTCCAACTTCCCAGCAAATTGCATACCATTAATTCCACGGCTCCTCTTTGTTGCAGCACGCGAAGAAGAAGCAAAGGGTTCGCGTGGTGGAGTACTGGATAGAGACGGCCAGGGAGTGCTTCAACATCGGGAACTTTAATTCCCTCATGGCCATCATAGCTGGTCTGAACATGTCGCCGATATCCCGGCTGAAGAAGACGGTAAGTCGGTGATAACGAGTTTATAAGTCTACGATGTATAATAATTTTCGGAAAACCTCTATACCAAGTAACGTCTCCGGTGCATGGCTTTTGAATGCACTAGGCGGATTTCCCTCGGCTCGTGCTGGATATAATGTAGGGGTTAATTTCTATCTGCATGGCATTTCTGAGGGTGCCGATGGAAAAGCATCAGGAAATATGGTTTCCGGTGCGTTTCCCCGAGTCGTGTCCACGCACATACAGCTGGGTTAATTGAATTTTTCCATGGCAATTCCGACAGGCCGCACCAAACCGAATGAAATGTAGGTCGCGATCCAGGTTAATTAAAAAGTTTAAAGTTAACTGGCGTCGTCGCGAATTAGCTAATTACAACGCCTCCTCTCGCTCGTTCCCTCCTTCAGCCCGACTCTTCCACCCTCCGTCCTCCATCCTCCGCCGCCCCCTGGCTCGCTCGCAAGGTAAAAGCATATAAACCACTCGCAGCGATACAAGCCTCAAATTTCTGGATTTTCCGCGAGGGAGTTCCACTTCCTCCTCGGTGTCGGAATGCGCCGCTTCGCAGGAATCCAGGAGACAATCTACGTGCTTCGGACGTCGAAATGTAGAGACCGAGCGACAAATCGAAGCGATTTCTACCCAAGAAGAAGTGATAAAATCCGGGGCAAATGACGCGACGAGAAGCGATCTAACACGTCCTGGATGGAGTTTTTGTTTCCTGCTTTTTTCTTTAACATCAAAGCTATCCCAAACTCAATTTCGAGGTGTCGCTCAAATGGATCGGCAAGAGAAGTCGCTCTAAGAGTTCTATTTTATTTCCACGCGTCGTTATATTTATTTATTTATTTATTAGAAGCGTTAAATGGCTTCTTATATACCGGGGGGGGATTTTCGGGTTAGGAATTGGCGGGGCCATTCCATGCGGACATTTCATATGGGCTGACAGACTGGCAGCAGGGTAGCGCCATTCACGGTTCATCCGGTCTGCTTCGCTGATTTATAGAGGTGCGCGAAATAATTTCGGAAATTCGTCCGGGCCCATGGAGCCCTAGGGAGAGTCGGCCAGTACCCCGTAATTCTCGTTAATGAAAATCCACCACCGACCAATGGCTCACGCGTCTCTTCCGGTGGAGGCGCGGGGTGGCAGAGCGAGAGAAAAGGTTCAACGTGACGCGGTAATTCCCATAACTCGGAAAATAGAAGAAACCAGGGTGTTTTCCCTAGGACACTCCGGGAATGAGGGAGATAATTCCTGGCCTTAATAACGAAAGAGAAGAGATCCTCTCTGGGCGTGCTGCAAGGGAAAACGGAGGGGCGCCATCAGTTCTAAAGAAACTCCGCCAAAAAGGAGGCCCCAGGATCGCTCCAGCCAATTGGATCGATCCCCGTGCGAGCCCGAAAGGTTTCTTCTTCCTTTCATTAAGCTTTATGGCCTCTGGAAGCATGCCATGGCTCTTGATCGGGCTTAATTCACTGCAGGAATCCCTTGCGCGCGAAACGCGCGTCCCTCTCCCCATAGACTCGACCCCGAAGAGCTAATCATCTTCGGCCTTGCCCTAATCAAAGACTCACGTATCCAAGGCGCCGTTTTATTCCCTCATTTTCCTCGGCGTGAAAAAAAGAAGGAAATAAAATTGCATCCAGAAGATTAGCCAACTGCAACATCGATAGACCCCTCGGATAGAAAATTGGTGTAGTGTCCGAAAATAGGGGGAAAACGGAAAGAGTAATCGTCAGTTCCACGCGCGGAATCGAGTCTCTCGCAAAGCGCACCAGACGGAATTAATTCAGTATTTGGTCGCACGCGAGTTTCGCGTTGCGACGGAGTACCTGGGAGTTAATTTAATTACTGAATTCACACCTCGTAAGCGTTGTGTATCCGTGTTTGCGCTCACTCCCCGGGAAATTTCCGGAAATCCTCGCGGATTCGTTAACGCCACGCCGGCCCCACTTTTCTCGACACCCGAACCTCCCCTGCAAAGGCGTGTCCCCGCGCTGGCTCGTCATTTTTGTCCCCCGAATATTTCACGAATAAGCAGATAATTTCAGAAATGCATTGTTAGATCCCTCGGTCCTTTATCTCGGTGCAACGATTCGAGCTGATCGACGAGATTCCATCGCACGGTCGGACGAGCACGATGCTCCCATTTTCCGTCGTGGACACGTTTCCGTTTCTTCTATCTCTTTGGCTCCCTCGGGAACGAGAAGCAGGATCGGTGCCGACCCGAAGGATCCGGTCGATGTCAACCTGTCGATGTCGTTCAGGACCTCCGGACTGGACCTAGAAGTTGCAGCGTTCCTGGATCCCAAGGATACCCTGAATAGCGCAGTCACGTGCAGCTTACAGGTGCAGCTAGAAGTAGAAAAATGACTTTGACAAATGTGCCCGTTCACTTTGTTGCAGTGGTCGAAGGTCCAGTCGGCCAAGTTCTCCATTCTGGAGCACCAGATGGACCCCAGCAGCAACTTTAGCAGCTACAGAAGTACCTTGAAGGCTGCTATGTGGCGTAGCGCTGGCGCTACGGACGAGAGACAGCGAATTGTCGTGCCCTTCTTCAGCCTCCTCGTCAAGGACCTCTACTTCCTCAACGAGGGCTGCAGCAACAAGTGAGTCCACCTTTCATCTCATTTTTATCTTTCCCACACTTTATCCGCTGACTTCACGCACCCCTAAATCGAGTTTCAGGTGTATCTCCGGTGCTTGAAGAACATCCTAAAGAGCTTCCTGAAGAGCATCCTGAAATGCACATCTCGGATTAAATATAGATAAAACGCGGTAGAATCGGGTATAAATGTAATTAAATCCTGCACGGATAGCTCCATATTGTTTGGTTGTTTACCTTGAAGAGCTCTCCCTGGCCATGTACCGGCTTTTATTACGAGAGTGTCCGCGATAACTCTCAGCCCGTTTCCGCGAGTACGTCGTCAACTTATTAAACTTGTAATGGCAAAAGTTGCACCGATACAGGTGCTGTCAGGCCGGGAGAATGCGATCTTCCAGGAAAGGAAGCGCATACCCGGGATGAAGGCTCCAGTTAATTACAACCTGCCCCCGATTTTACCGATAGCTCGGATTTTCCCCATTTTTTCAGGAAAATATCGAGCAAAAATCTCGATCACCTGGAGAATATTCTATCCGCCGATGAGCGAATGCGTCACCGATTTCCCAGGGAACTTTCCCGGAGTTCCCGGAAATTGGCCAAGTTTCCCCCCCAGGTCCATGTAATAACTCGTGTAATTCCAGGACTTCTGGCATGTACATACACCCGTGCATGCATAGAGTCGGAATCAGCTTCCGAGCTTTTCCCCAGGAGTCAGTCGTCAGGAGTTTCGCGAGGAAGACTCGCATGAAGCAACTCCATCGAATAACGATGTGCACTTGAAATCGCACTTTTACGTGGAATGTCACACGATGCTCCTCTTCGTTTCAGACTGCCTAATGGACACATTAACTTCGAGAAGTTCTGGCAGCTTGCTAAACAGGTGACGGAGTTCATAGCTTGGAAACAGGTGGCTTGTCCTTTCGAGAAGAACCCGCGGGTCATCGCTTTCCTGCAGGCTAGTCCAGTCCTTACAGAAAATGGTAACTAAAAATAGAAAAATCCTACCCTACGTAAATTTCCCTAAAAATTAGCATTACATTAAATTAAATTAATTGCATAACATTAATCTCCATGAATTATTTCGTACCAATTCCAGCTCTTGCCCTCGCCTCCTTCGAGTGTGAGCCACCGGATAACAATCCCGAGAAGGAGCGTTATAAGGCCTTAAAGTAAGTACTGGTGAACGATTTTGAGGATCTCTCCGGGGACTTAAAGAAATGGAAAGGAAAATGAAAGAACGAAGGAATATACTATTTTCGCGCACTTCCTCGTAGATCCGAGTTGAACGCCCAGTGAAAAGAAGCCTCGACGCGGAACTATGACGAGTGGGAAAGGTACTGATATACATATATAGATAGGTATATAGTCACGGAAGGAAAACACGTACGTATTATTAAAAAGGATTAGCCGTAATTTCTAATCTAAATCGGCGCCGTCGGGACGAAACGAGTATCCGATACGACGCCACTCGCTGCGAGAAAGATACAAAACGCGCGAACAAAGTATTACGAGGTATTACGTAGTGATTTGCTTCGCGATTACTCGCGATGGGGATGTCATCGAGCCCGGGACACGTGTAAAAGAAATCCCATAGCTGTCCATCAGTTTTCTCTCGAATTGCAGGCTCCATTTAACGTTAAAAAATACTAAAACTTCCCTTCACACGACCGAATCGCACATCGGCATTCGTGAGATTCTCTCTCGAGTATCGCGCAGCATTAAGGGGATGTGAAAGTGGCATCCGAGATGTCGATCCTTCGTTAAACTTCTCTCAGAAGTGTACATACCGAATAATTTCAAACATTACAACGTGAATATGGAAGCTATAAGGAAGGTCTCTACACCCGTGAAATTTAATTTTGCATTAAAAAAAAAATTTTAAATGTGAACAGATTTTTTGAAAATTGAAATTTCATGGACGTAGAGACTTTTGCTGTAGGCTTAATATTTACGTTGTAAGTTTTGAAACGATTCGGTACGCCCTGTTTGGAGAAAAGTTTCGTGAAGGGGACCTCTTTGACGCCACTTTCGTGTCACCTTAAGAATAGTTCCTAAGCCTTACGTTTCCGCGTGTAGAAACGCTCCGGGTAAATTTTTTCCAGGCACAGCTCCTAAGTCGCGGCAATTCTTCGGCAAATATATCCTCGAATCGAGTCGCCCTGAGCATTTCCTCACGTATTCCACCTGTAAATAGCCCTTTTGATATACGCTAACGACCTAGGTGTGAGTAGGCTCGTTCCTGTAGATCTAAGTTCGACCTAAGAGATTAAGTTAACCAGACCGAAGGTACTTAAACGGCGTCTTTTTGAGTTCCCCTTCAATTCCGCGTCACGTTCACTAGAGGCGACTGCCTAGATTTCATCGAAGACCGAGACCTCGGGTCCAGATTCCGCATCAAGGGATGCTGAAGAGTCCTCCGAGGCGCGGCTGAGCTTTTCATTACTCGATCAATTCTGAAAGTATAGGGACCAAGGGTTCGTTTCTCCTGGATTAATGGTAGACGCCAAAGGTGGCCGAGGCGCTCTTCAGGGTCGTTACAGCATTAAAAATGGATTCTATGCAATGCCGAAGTCGCCCTGGCAAATAGGGACGAGCAAAATTGGTCCTGATCCTATGTGGTCCAATTTTGGTCCTTTTGCAGGGCCAAGACCAAGACCGCAAGATCGACACCTGCGTTGCTCGCCGGAAAATCCCCTCGTCGGGCAGTTATTCGGAATTTTCCGGGAATTCGGAGCATTTTCCTTTCGAGTGCATCGATAATTCCCCGATTCCAAATTTCTGGAAAAACGAACGTCACGAGGCTCACATCGGAAAGGTCCCTCGCGCGGGTCAGGGCGCGAAAGAAAGTAATCAATCGTCTCGTCGAAAGTGTCGATACGAGACGTAGGTATTTCCCGTGAGATATGTCGAAGCTTATTCGATCTCTCGATAGCGTGATTAATTGCTCGCTTCGCGTATATTTACTCGATATGAAAGCACAGTTTGACTGGCACGTCGCCCGGGATATTCTCATGTAGACCGTAAAGAAGTCGCACCCACCAACGAAGGTCGCGTTGATAGAAAGAAAAATTCGTACTATTAGGATATATCGTATCGCATCGCACCGTCAATATTCACCGACGTATATTAATCGCGAGTCCTTATCCTCCCTTGATTTCCGACGACGACCCCTCGAGATGCGTCCTCAGGGGTAACTCGTCCTTAGCGTTTCTTTCGGAATCGTTTCGAGCAGCGTTTCGACTTTGCAGTCCGAGAAAGACACATATACACCGGAATAAGAAATTCGTTCAACTCTTCAGGATCCTTATATCACGTCGTGGATTAATCATTGTCTAAACCTCCGGCATCTAGTCTAACGAAGAGGATAATTGCCTCTCGAAATGTAACACTCGCGGGAGTTGGTCCTCGCGTTCTCGATTTTCTAACCACTTTTTATATAGTCTTCCTGTTTGTAGAGGTATACGTGCTTTTCCGAGGATCTTGCAGATTCGTACCCGGAGTTTATATACATAGTTATATAACAATTAACGGGTCGAGGAGTTGAGCGTAATTTCCCAGGCGTTCGCTGCGAGGCCGTCCGAATTTTCGTTTCGCAAATCCTGCCTAGACCGAGTGCAGTCCCGCGGATTATCATCAACTGTACATACGAAAGTCGTGTATATAATAATATATACCTTGTACGTTCTACCATGTAAGCGTAGATGTAAACTGTAATCGAATTTAGACCTCGGCGCTCGTTAAGCGAACCACTTTGGCGAGTCGCTGAGATCGACCTGGGATCCGGCGCAGCCTAATTCGGCGATGAAAGTTAGCCTAAACTTGAGGTTCGGAGACTTCGCGAAAGCGAGAACGATCGACTCGATTCTTGCTGGTTTTCTAGTCACTAGCGGTTAGTTTCCGGATTTATTACGAGTTTCGTTCCCTCTCGAAGAGAGTCGAGCACCGGCCAGGTGTAAAAGGGAGCGGCCAAAGTGCTCGACTTTCTTGGCGACTGCAAGAGAGAGCCTTCGCGCGTAAATTAATTGAGTGTGAATTAAATAAGTTAGGTACTCTACATTTAATTTCCGTACTACGTGGGTACGTACTTTGCTCGACATTCCCAAGAACCGAAGCCAAGCGACGTGGCGCCTTAAGAAAGACAAAAAAGAAACAGGGACCCCGACCTGGCCCAACGAAGGGCGAATAATCTACGTCCCGAGATTTATCTTAAAGCGACTCACTTAATTCTACGATTTGAAGATCACTTTCTCTACCCGCACTCGCGGCATATCCCGTCGACTCTGCTTTGCCAATAGGACAAGTTAAAGTACCGTCACGCACCTTTGGGACGTTTTTTATCAAAGGAGTCTCCACCTCCTGAAGTCGAGGCCCGACCTCGAGGGAGAGGAAATTCATTCCTACGTTGTGCACCGTCGATGTAGGTCAAGTTTTTACCGTCACACGTGTACTCGTCGGATGAAAATCGAAAACTGCGCAATTCGGAGTAAACGCTTAAAGACCCACTACAAAGTAGATCGAGGGCTCGGCGATTCCATTCGCGTTGAGGTCTGGCCGACGTGGAACCGCCGAATCAGCTCGATCGGTCGCTCGTACAACGACACGATGTTAAACCCCGTCTAAGCTGTCCTCCGTGGATCCGGTTTGACCCTGCGTTGCTTGCTTATTTGTAAATAATACGTCTCCGTTTACGTTTCGACTTTGATATTATTCCAATCGGACTCTTGTTGGGACTATTTGTACATATACCTACTATAGGCTCGATAACGTAACGCAACAACGGCAACAGGAAGAACAACAATTACAATTATGTAGAAACGATGATGTCTTACGAAATAAAGTGCAGATTAACAATTGCGTCCGCCATCTTGTCACACCCCAGACCCGTGCGTCGAAATTTCGTAGAAATTTCGACAAAGACCCTTCCCTTGGTTCCTGGGATAAATATCATAAACGCTAATCGCTGTTATCTACCGCTTAGAGATTCCTTGATTTTTTGGTCAATCCATCGACGATAGTAGGCAACTTTGACGTAGACCCCGGGTTTGTTGGCACTGCCACAGTGCTGACCCCAACTGGTCACTCCAAACAAGGTAAACGCACCTGCAAATATTTGAAAGTCGGAAGGGTCGCTTAAAATATTTTCATTAAGGGTAGATCGAGTAATTAAGTAGGCTTGCCATTGTGAGGACAGGCTAAGGGACCTCCGGAATCCCCGTCACATGTGTCGACACCCTCGTCTAAGTACCCGGCACATACCATGCCGTCGCTTATGGCGCCTTCCCCGTAAACGTAACTAGCTCGACAGATCGATCGATCCAACAAAGGCACCCAGCCATACCTCAAATCTCGGGATTGAGCTGAAATGTTTGCCCGAAACGTCAGGGGTGATCTATGTGTAATCTGCGTATAATCTATATAGAATGGGGCCGAGTAGATCCTCGCATTCTCACCGGACTTGCCAGTCTCCACGCTGCCCCATCCGCTGATGGTGCAGTTCAATCCATCTGGATACTCGGCATTCTCCGAAGGCAAACAGATTGGCATGACATTCCTTCCCAAAGGAATTCCTCGACCCTTCAGCAACACCAGAGCAATGTCGTTGTTCATTCTCTGGCCTTTGCGGAATTCTTCGTGGATGTAGTAGTCCTCGATATTGGCCTCCACTTCGGTTCCCTCGTCGACCTGCGATTCATTAGTCCACCCATTAATTTCCGATCGTTCACCCAACGGAAATCGCGTACACGTTTCGGGTCTGTACGTTTCTTTGGAATTCTCTCTCGCATTCATATAAATGGAATTTTTGAAAACAAATTTCTCCAGCGCGTTCGCCATGAAAATTAAAGGGTCGCTTGAAGTCCTGGCTTCCGGTAACATGATTGAGTTTGGATTTATTAATAGTCGACGAGGTAGTCTTCTAATCGCAAGGACACTCACCTCGGTGTTGTGGTCTCCTGCGCGTACAAAATATGTACCTTTGTTGTACCCTTCCAGACAATGAGCAGCGGTAAGAACATGAAGAGGAGATAACACCACGGCTCCACACCAATGACTCGACCTGCTGTGTCCCCGGATTCGGATACTAGCCTGTTGTAAAAAGGGAATAAAAATTCATTCGATATGTAGATATCCAGGCTCTTCCGAAGCCGATTTGCGCAAGCAGCCGCTCGAGACCCTCCACCTCTTAAAATTTCATTTTTCAGTTTTACCTGCCAGGGATACGCTCCTCTGGGTGCAATGGAACCTCTGACCACCCTGGCCAACATCTCGTCGTCCTCGCTGAAGTCCTCTTCCCGTTTCCCACAATCCGAGGGCAACAAATCGTTGATGTCGACTTCTTTAACTTCCGGTACCCCTTCTCCGAACAGCTATCCGACAGGGAATGTGAACAGGTTACCATTAAACTATCCTGCGACATTTGTCCTCGAAACTTGGTCAGATCATCAGGATTCTTAATAATAACCGATCCGTTTCGATCGTTTAGGATGAAGGGTAAAAATAAGAGTGCTCGATGAATCTCCTGGCTTCGCTTTATTATTGGCCGCCACCGCGTGATTTGGATATTTACATTCGAAAGTGCAAAAAATAGAGAGCTTCCGAGCGAGACGTAAGTACACCCCGGTACGTTAAACTTTTTCTCGATTTACCTTGGAAACCGTAATATCACCGGGACTGCATATCACCCCTGCATCCTCCTCGTGGTCGCAATTGTGCAACCCCCAATGGTTGTGTTCGCAGCGATACAATTGCGTTTCGTTCCCATAACAGAAGACCTAAGGGAAAATTCATTTCTGACCAGAGTTCACGGAATCAAAACGTTCCCTCGAATCGACAGTACCTCGTCCAGCCAAATGGGTCCTTCTCCAGGGCCGAAAACACCATTTTTCTTAGCAATTGCAACCCCTCCATATCCTAAAGATCTGCAAATCACAGTGGCCGTGGCATTCGAGAAATCGTCATCGCACACCGTGCCCCAAACACCATGGTGTCTTACTTCCACTCTTCCTTCCATGGGACTACTACCATTGGCTAATCTTAATTGGAACGGTGCCTGGGTCGAGCAATTATTTTTTAATATTAACTACTAAGAATAAATGTCATTTATAAAAAAAGTTGACAGGGAGCATACGTCACAGTGAGCAGGACTTTCGTCCGAGCCATCAGGGCAGTCTTTAACCTCGTCACATATAAACGGTGTAGGAATGCAAGTCGGAGAGTCGTCACACTTCCAGTGACCCTCTTGACAGCTGTTGACAGCGGTCTTACAGACGATGCCTACCGCCTCCTCTGGCTGGCAATTGTGAACTCCCCAGCTAAAGAAATTAACGTCAATCGATATCACTTTCCATCTCCTTTCTTTTTTTTAAGGAAATACCGACCCGTCGAAGTCGCACTCTCGTAGCGAGGTCTCATTTCCTCGACACTTCAGCTGATCCACCAGGAATCGCGATGGTGGGTCCAAATTCCCGTAGAATCCTCCTAGTCTAACGCTTAATGCGCCCAGATTGAATCCAAGCTCCTTGCAGATGACATCTGCGTTGATCATCCCGAATCCGTCATCGCAGACCTGTCCCCAGTGACCCAGGACTGTATAAAAACGAAGTTCACCAGTAAAACAAAATCTACCCGGGAAGGATGTTTTTTTATCAAAATTCAGGACGTACTTTTAACTTCCACTCTGCCCTCATTAGTGTTATTCGACCCAGCCAATCTGACTGCATAATCGAGCTCGTCAACCGAGCAAATGTTCTCATCCGACCGGTCGTTGCAATCGTTTTTCCCGTCACACACCATGGTCCGATTAATGCATTTCTTGTTATCGCAGGTGAACATGTCGTCGCAGTTCAGGGTCCTCGAGATCATCTCAAAATAATCGTACTCGCTATCCGGGATCAGTGCTCCCGTAAGACCCACGTTACTGTCGCTCAGCAAGCACACGTTTCTTTTAGCACTGAAAAGTAGACGATTATTTCTGACAATCGTTTTAAATAATCCCTCGCCTTCTGAAACGAGCTCTGAAGACGAATCATCTTTCCGGCCATTTTCCAGGGTTACAATGAAAGTACTGGGTTTTACGACGTACTTGTGAACGAAAGACCGACAAGTGAAGTCTGCTTCCTTGCACCTAAGTGCACAGGTCTTTAGGGGCGTGTTCAGCCATTTCTCCACATCGTATCCCTCCAATTTATGCTTCCCAATTTTCTTGAATAAGCTCATGTGGGATACGCAGGCTTTCTCATCAGCGCCGTTCGTACAGTCCTGAAATTTTTCAATTTTCGACAAAGTACGTTTATGGGAGTATTATTTGTTCAGGAGGAATCCTACCTCTTCGCCATCGCAGACCCAAGGTGACGGTATGCACTCTCCTGGCAAGCATTCGAAGTGCTTGGGCTTGCAACTACCCGATGCAAGTGATTTCTTCGTGGCTAAAAAGAAATTTAAACCATGGAGGAAGTTAACCCCTTGAATGTGTCGTTACGTAAAGCTATTAAATACCTAATTTCCCGCAGGATGGAAGATCACAGGATTCCCGTTCAGTATGGGGACCAACGAAGCACCATGGCTTTGATTCTCTATTCGGGTTAGGATTCCTGCAGAAATTATGTCCTTTAAGCTTCTCTTTGGTTTCTCGTGAAATCACCTGAAAGCAGGAGAACATTTATCATCCAAGAATATAATTTAATTCTCTTCAAGTCGTTTAAATGATTCGACTAACGTTCATCAGGAACGAGTGGGCGATGCGATCGTCGTCCCAATAGAGACATTCTTTCCCCGAAGAGGAGATGTTGGCCTTCCCGGAATACTGGTTCCCCTTGCCGTAGACGCAGCCTGTATATTAATAAATCTCCAAAGTTCTTTCTATTACAAATAAAAAAGTAACACGATCCAGCAATTACCGATGTCGTCGTAAGGTCTCTCGCAGACGTACGAGTGTCCTTTAGTCGACGATGCGCAATCCTCGACGTCCCAGAAGAAATAGTCCGTATCGCAATCAGAGTCTGGACGATCGTGACACGGGAACTTCTTTTTCATCACGACACACACAGGACGTACTCCAACATGAGGTGGGATCACTTTGTCCTCCATCCACCCTGGCCACCACTTTATAAATCTTAAAAAAAAAAATCATTACATTATAATACAGGAACGTGACTTTTTGTCATCGACTATTGCTTTAAAATGTCACCTGAATTTCGCACGAGATGAATCTTCCCATAGCCAAAATATTCTGTTGAAAGTAGTAAAGCCCACCCCGGAAGTCATGATGGACTCCACCTCTGGATAACTTTGCACCAGCAACTCGGAGATGAAATTGTTCTCCTCCTGACTCGTAACATCCAAAAGCTGTGACTTCCTCTGAGCACAATAGTTCAATGCTTCGGCATGGTTTAAACCAGAGTTTTTATCCGCCAAATGGTAACACTGCCCTCCGTGAGGGATTTCATCTTTGCGACAAAGAGCTATCCTATTCGGCAGACACTGCACACCGATTGCATCCCTCTGGACCTGACACTCGTGGCCATGTGTAAATCTATAAAATTATTGACAACGCTGAAATTATTTACGATGTATCTTTTAAATACATCATTGATACATTTTTTCGGGAGACTCTTACCTGCAAGATTGGAAGTAGGTCTCATTGCCCAGACAATTGACTGTGTCTGCAGCGATCCAACTCGGTACACCCCATTGACCGTTTCTGCCTTGCCATGACATTTCGGCTCCCCTGTGAAAAATATGTATCGCTCCAATAAAATATGACCTTATAATAAATAATTCGTTATATTAAATAGATTTACCTATAGTATCCTAATTGCTTGCAGACAACATGGGCTTCCTTGAGAGACCATGAGTTTCTGGAGTCGCAAACGACGCCCCATCCTGGCTGGGCACCTTGAACTTCGACGTATCCATTCCTAGGACCGGAACCTCCTCTAAGCCTTATAAACTATATAGAATTTCAATTAAACATCCCCGAAATTTTATTTACTTTCCATAGATCATAGGAGAAGCTGCTATGTAATTACCTGCCCTGAAAGGGGTGTCACCGTTCCAGGTTTTTTCGGATGAGTCAAGGGCTGTACCGGTGGTACGTAGTAAACTGAGAAAGATGGTTCCACTAAACAAATAAGATATATAAAGCATTAATGTAAAATAAAATAACACACAAAGCATAAAAACTAGGCAAGGAACCTTTGCAGAGCTGGAGAATTTAAAGCGATGATCGGCAAGATATCAAAGCGATTGACTTTGTAGAGCGAACGAGAGAAGCATGCACATAATAAAAGTACTCAATAAACTTACCCACCGACTGACACCATGAAATAAAATAAAATCGTTCGCTTTCATCTTACTTACCCACCGGGGGTAGAAATTCTACATCAAGCAAGTCTTCGTTAATCTTCTTCTTACTGTTAATTGACATTATGACGGATGACTTTGTGGTCGTCTCCGTTCTATTCTGGAAGACCAATGTCGGTTTCCAGACCTCCTTGTCAACCATGACATCGACTTTATCGACATTCGAGTCAATATCGTCCGGAAAGTATATATTCGTATTTTCTTTGGAGTCTTTCCTACCTCGACGATCCGAATTATCATCGTATTCAATCGAAACGGATGGAAGGTATGGATCTGAAGTTATGTCAACATTTTTCGGATCTTGATTACCAGTGGCATTAAAATTAAAATCTCTCTCCGTAGTGGACCATCTACTACGATTAGTTTCTTCGACTTTGGGCATCGATCTCAAATCAATCAAACTGTAGTAGGGTGGAATAGTAGCGTTTTCTCTATCTGGTCCAGGGTATAATTTATCATATCCATCGGAATCTTCAGGCGCTTCATTTATAGGATTCGGCTTACTATTCTGGGGCTTGTAATTTCGAGTCTGAGAGTGTCCCTGATCGATTTTGATTTCTTTCGTGATGTAGTGTCCCTTTATTCCATTCGAATTTACGTATATACTGTCAGGAAATGTTATTCTTGAAGGATCAGGCGTCGAAGTTTTAGAGCCTGTAAAACGTGATCATAAAATATGTTCATAGAGTATCCCTTCTGTATAGAATTAATATTCCGTTCCATACCCGCTGGCATTTGTCCTTTCCCTTGCCCAAAGACATTCGTCTTCGACGTCCACTGATTTAATTTTACATCAAGATCTGAATTTTCGGCTCTCTGATCATGAACGTTCGTATGCGTCGCCCATTGATCGAATTTATCATCTGAAGGAGGAACACTAGGACCTGAAACTGAATTATTTCATTTTTATATTTGCTGCAGCCATGCATATCAATTCCTTTTCTCGTTCGATCTAACATGCGCCATAAATAATGCTATAAATAATTATCATGCCGAAACGTTTTTACAGGATTAATGACCAGTGAAGATGAAGCGTGATTTAGATAAAATTACCAGCGTGCTAATTTAAGCCATGCAGTTCGAGTCCGTTCACCGACCTGTTGCAAAATGAACAAGAAGGTCGTTTTACAAGGATAACCATTTTTACCTTGATTCCAGACTGACTGGTTCATAGGAGTCGGTTTAGGACCTTGATAACCACCTCCAACAGATGGATTAGGTTGATATTCAGGGTACGATTGATTAGGAGCTGGAGAACGGACACCAGACTCCACAGGATATCTTCCTGGCTGGCCAGGATGATGTGCATTCTGACTCGGCAGAGTAGGAGGTGGTCTACGACCCCCTTTAACAGGAGGTGCAGATGGACTTCCTTGTCCCTCAGGATACGGCCTTTGACTTCCCTGACCAGACGGATAAGGTTGCCAATTATGCGGACCAGTTCCCGAGGGTCTCGTAGGAAATGGTTGTTGCAGTTCTGGCCCGAAGCCGCCTTGGCCAGGAGAATAAGGTCTTTGACCATTTGGACCAGGTCTTCCTTGGTCAGGAGTGTAAGGTTGCTTATTATCTAGGCAAGGAATATTCTGACCAGGAATACAAGGTTGCAGGTTCAAGTCAGGTCGTCCTTGGCCTGTCCATGTGCTAGGAACGAATACTCCAGGTTGGCCAGGGTGAAGTTCCACCTGACTCCAGGGAGGTCTTTGCTGCTCACCTTGTGGACCTTGGCTATGACCATTGGTCCACCCTGGGCGGCCATGACCTCTCTGGCTAGAACTTGGGATCTGTCCTGGTTCATAAGTCCCACTCTGATAGATATTACCATCGGCACCAACATATGGATACTGGTGATAACCTGGATCTGTCTTACTTCTACCGTCTCTGTCAACCCCAACGTTTGGTCTACTGGGTACATTCGCAGGGTACCACGGATTTGGATTTTGAGAATTACCATCATTCCCTGGTCTGGTGTTATTATACTTCCTAGGATCCCATCTCCACGTTCCTATATTCTGGCCATAGAACGAGGGATGCGTTTGTTGATCAGTGGCGTTATCAGCAGGTTTACGATTATCGTGCGGATTCCACGGTTTTCCCCACTGACCTCCGTGATACGAATGAGGAAAGTTCGTGCCGTTTGCATGACTGCTTGAACCTTTTGTAAATGTACGATTAGTTTGATAGTAGGGGCGGTGGATGCTAGGGTGGTATTGCCCTGGCTTGGAGGTTTGATAGTCGTACGAGTTTGGTCCTTGCTCGCGAGGCCATTGGCCCGAATGTTGATTTTCGCCATTATATGGGCCATAATAATGCCGCGAGTTACTATCTGGTCCAGTTTGATTGTAGTACCATGGTTGGTTGTTTGTCCCCCCATTAAGCTGATATCCATGACCCCGGGGGTCGGGGTCAGCTGGATTATACTGTGCATAAACATGCTGACCATTTTGCTGGCCCCAATTAGGTCCATTATGCTGGCTTTGAACATTACCCTGCCATGACTGTTGAACACGATGTCCTGTGTTCTGAGTAGTGGGCCATTGACTACCAGCATTTCCTCCTTGAGAAATGGGCTTATTCTGCTGACCATTACATCCTTTTACCTTGTACGGCCAATCGCACGCTGTAGTGATAGGATTAAATACAGTTCCTGGGCCGCAGTCCATTATAAAAGTGCCTCCACGATTGCACTGGAGGAACTTTTTACAATCTCGAGGGTGCGGAAGTTGTCCGGTATGACCCGCTGGACAGGATATTTTTTCCTCGGATTTTTGGATCCTGTTCTGCCCAGATGACCATCCAGTATCCTTCTTGCTCCCGTAATCCTGATGCCCAGTCAATAGGGAAACCTCTTCGTCAGTCTTTAAGGCATCTGATTGGAAAAGATTAGGCATTAGTCACCGTAAATCCTCCACGCGGAAAATCGGACGGCTCTGCAATTTTATCAAAATTCCTCCTATCTACCTTCGCATCCCTGAACGTTGTTTGGCCAATCGCAAACGCTGATAGCAGGATTAAACACGGTCCCAGGTCCGCAGTCCATCACGAAAGTACCCCCGTTGGCGCACTGCAGGAACTTTGTGCAATCCGCAGGATGGGCCAGCAATCCTGTCACATGAGGCGGACATTTCGGCTCCTGCGTAATAAATCAGCAGAATGTGCAAGGACAATTAGTAGCAACCCAGATTCCCACTAATCGATGTTAGCTCGGAAAGACACGTCGTATTTCGTACCAACAAATTTGCGCTGCCCGGCTTCGAATGTGTTCCTTGCACGAGAGGTTCCCTCCTCCCCGTGGCATCCAAATTATCAGGGGCGGTAAAATCTGCCAATTCGCCCCCGTAACATTTAACTTTGTATGGAAAATCGCACTCTAGAGTATCAGGATTGAAAAGCGTTCCTGGGGCACAGGGTTGCACGAAGGCTCGTCCTGCCCAACAGTTAACGAAAAATTTGCAGTCAGGGGGGTAAACAAATTGCCCAGTTGCACTTTCATCAGGACACTGCACCCCCGAGGAGCTGTACTTCGCCACGATGGACTTGTGATCGGGTTTACTTATGGTCAGGATTTTCCCTTTCCGGGGTTTCTGAAATAAATAGAAAAAAAAATAGAGGAAAACATTGTTAAGCCTCCAAAAAATGTTACCACGTGATTTGGATAAATGGGAAATTAATTCATAATAAAACAATATATGTATATACCGTGCTATCCAGTGGGACATTTTCGTAGAGGTCGGGAATTATTTCCACGTTTAGGACTTTATCTCGACGACGCGATTTGTGGACATTGCAGTTTTCGGTGGGATTCGAGGGGTCGCATAAATTTTCTTCCGGGACTTCTTCCGGTATCCATGAACCTCCGTGATCCGTCTTCTGTTCAAGATCCTTTCTTTGCGAGAAATCGTCCTGAAAAGGAGGTTCGCTCCTCTGCGAATAGCTACTTTCCAGCCTTTTTGGCCACGTTTTTACCCCAGCATCCACGATCGCTGGTTCTCTCGGCCTGTCTTCGGGCAAATCCCATTTTGGAGAACGCGAGGGATCCTCTGGTGGCGGAGAATCTTCCCCAGTTAAATACCAAGGCAATATGGATTCACGACGCACCGGAGGTTTTGTCGTTCTTTCCGAGGGGACGTATATCTGAGCTCAAGAAATAATTTCAAGAAATGAAAGAGGGAATTTCAAGGTGTCAAACGTATTCTAAACTCTCGGTCGGCCCCGTTTCACTGAACACGTGAATCAGATCTGGACCATATTTATCTCTATCTCTACGTATACAATTGTTGCGACTTACCGCTAGTGTAAACTCGACAAGACACAAGGTCGCGAAGCTCCCTATCAGCCACATTTTGATTCCGCGTGACTTCAGTAAATAGTAGAAATAACTCTTTCCATGCGACACATTTCGGACACTTCGAGGGAGACGAAATTGTGGAACAACGTTTAGGTAAATATCTGTCGGAGGACCGCAACGACACTGGCCTGACAGTCGGCAAAGTACACGATGAAGAAGCTCGAGAAGGGTTATCTTCCAGGTCGAGTTCAAAGGTCGCCTCAAAGCCGCCGTTGCTCTTCCAAGTACAAATGCTCTATTCGTCATTGCAGGAAAGCGACCGACCGCCACTCGATCATGTAATTGCCTATTGCGCGAGTTACACGGAGTTCAAACTCAGTCGTGGTCAATAACGAGAGTGTACGAGGTCCTATAAAGCGCTAAATTGTTTTCTCAGCCGACATGATACTGCGGACTAAGATACTATAAACAAGTGGTACTTCATTCATTCGATGTAAATAATAATAATTTTAATTCAATAATATACAGCGCCGGAATTGTACAAATTTGTCATCTTTACTGTCTCGAGTCATCATACAACGTCGATGTATAATTAGTGGGAAGTCACGATCTGATCCATGATTACAAATCAAGATGAAACGTTATGTACATTGCATTCATTTTCCGGTCTTGCCCGCTTGCTGTTATCGTAGAGGAAAATCCCGTTTCTGAAAGGGAAATCATTTTAAACGGTTAACATTGCCAGGGCGGTAGATAATTACCTATTCGTGACATTTTATGATTTTAACGAAGCGGTACACAATTTAAATCAATTACTACGAGCAAATGAAAATCATGATTTATATGACTGATTTAAACCTAAGTACGCATTCATACGATTACAGTAATTAGAAATAATTATCTTCGTACATCTATTCTACCGTGATGCAGCTGGAAATATAATTTATACAGCCTGAATGATGCATAACAAATGATCATCCTCGATTTCCGCATCCTTGACGGCCCATCAATGGATAGTCACACGTGTTGATACTTGGATTGAACTCCGTTCCTGCACCGCAGCTTAGGATGAAACAACCACCGGCATCACATTGCATGTACTTGGAACAATCGCCGGGTACAGGCCTGACCTGAGGTGTGGGGGTCTGCAAAAGAATTATATCGAATCAACAATTTTTTTTAATCCAATTTAAGCGATACAGCAATAACACATCCGCTTCTGAAATCAAGTTTGCGTACTGGGGCTTTTATAGAAAATTTAATTTTATAAACTCAATGAAAAATCATAGAGAATGAATACTACTTCATGAGAAATTAATTACTTACAGCACACGATGATCCAAAGAAGAGCGCCATGCAGAGAACGAGGCACAAGGTGGATATGTAAGACCACATTCGTCTATTAGCGATATACATGATGACTGCGATTGATTTTCTCTATTATGGATTGAGTCTTTATATACGCCACAGCGGACGGGGAAAATCTCGTATTTTTTAATCCCGGAATTGTAGTTTTAATTCTGTCTATGATGGTCGAGTTCTCAGAAACTCGTCTGACGTTGCTACGTGTCTTCCGTATTTATGATCCCAAGAGAGTCAAAGGTGCAAGTATTTTTTTTCGAAATTTAAAAATGCTCGCAGCACGATGCTCACTACTTATACTATATAGTTAGCGTGTTGTTATCGGAGAGTACTGCTGCAATGATGATGCAAGCACTTGATAGTAAAGTGAACATCATTTTTGAAACCGGTTGTCGAAGCAATCACACGTATGCGTAATAGACAATGACTTAAAGAATATTTGTTACGGCAAATTATATTATTTGAAACTCAAGTTCGATAAAGAAAATTTAACTTTTTGTACACAGCACAAATACTAGATGTAGTTACGATTTATTACTTGACTCAAATCATTTCGCACCTTAATCAACTTTCTATTTTATCAATCCAGGTGATTTGGCAAACCCAATCTTTTTTTCGCTTTCTCTTTCAAAAAGGTATAAGGATATTTGATTTCAGTATCCGTCTTGGGAATCCTGACGATCCTGCGAAATTTAGGTGTAGCCAGCAACAGGTGATAAGCAAGGCCGACTGTGCTATTGCTCAACCAGTAAAGTACTATGCCCTGAAATAAAAAATTAGTCAATCATATTTTAAACAGACATCCATTTAATGATAATATACATTTATAAATTAATTATTTCTCACCGATGGGAGATAACACGATATTATAAGAATTCCTCCACAAGCAACTCTGCAGCCGTACAAAACAAACTTCTGCAGGCGGGTAGGATCTTGAACTGCCATCATATGCATTACCTGTAAAATGAAACATTTAAAGTAGGCGTGTTTCTTTCTTAGTATATACAAAACATTACCTCAATCGCAGATAAATTCATAATAGTTAGAAGAACAGGAAGGATAAATGTTTGATCGGCAGCTGCCAAGTTTTGAATCCAACCGAAACCACCAGTGGTTAATTCTAAAAATGCTTGGCGAACACCTAAAATCCAATAAAAATAATGACTTCAGCGTGCCCGAATAAGTTTACATTTCCATTGAAACTAGTTATAATCACTACATACTCTCATTTCCTGGTGGATACAAGAAACATATATTTTTAATTGAAAAGAATACCATTAAAAGCATTGGTATCTGTACTAATGAAACTATGATAGTCTTCAAAGGATGACAGTTGTCTCTTACTACCAATTTGTTCCATTCTTCTGACATCTATAATACAAGATAATTAAAACAGCATATACTATAATTGTATTATAATGTTATGTAATTCATCATGTTACATACAGCAGTTCGAAACATAGCTTTCGCACGAAAATTGGACCATCCTTCTACGATGGCAGAAGATTTAGTCTTTTCTAATATCTTTCGTTGGATGTTCTCTATCTCGTGCCTTATATTCGCCAATCTTACCATGATGTGGTGCTAAGAGTAGATACGTGAATTAAATTATTTCTAATTATTAATTGATGTTATTATACAATATTTGGAATGTTTTCTTTACCTGATATATTTGCAATGGAAATATCATAAATGTCCTTAAAGTGACAGATGCGACAACGAAAGTTGTCCACCATGGTAATCCAGTAAATTCATGGAACGAGATTAGAGATCGTTGAGTAAACTCTACTGGCACACTTTCATACATTGATTTTAAGAACTTCTCAACAAAACCCAAGTCTGCCAAATTATTAAAGGCAGACTGATTTACCACTTGCTCTTTAATAGTAGAAAAATTTCTAATGGTACAATGACTTTTAACATTGCGATCTAAAGAGCATAACGCTGTGTTTGACTTGCGACACAATGGTGTAAAATGAATTTGATGATTTGAATGCTTTTTATAAAACACGCCTTTCAAGTTCTTTGCAGGATCGATAACTGTGTAATTCAACGTAGAATATTCATTATCTAAGCTTTTTGAAATAGAATTATCAATTCTGCTCCCAAAATATGAAGAATGCTTTGTACAATGTTTAAATGCATAGGTATATTTCGCTGCATTATAGCTCAGATTCCGATGGTAAAAAGAACCAAATTTTTGAATGGATAATTCAAGTCCTGCTCTAGAATTAAATATGTTAGGGCCATGTAATCCGCATCTCAGTATCTTTATGAACAATACACCTTGTTTACACATTTTCAATCGGAGACTTCGCTCAGCAAGGTTATGTGCTCAGATATTTGAAATAGTAATTATTAATGACACGTCAGAAAAACGGGACATTATCACGTCGTTAATGTACTAACAACTCAATTAATAATACATTCAGGTCAGAATACCCGGCATATCAGCTACTGGACAACATAACCTATTATTACGAACTCAAAATATACTAGCAGAGATGAGCAGAGATGAGTTGGGAGATTGCTTACGGGCAGGATCGTGCGATCGCATCCTGTGCTGCCCTCTGGTTTCGTACGTTAGCTTTCACCATTTTTTGCCCCCAAGGGCGGCGCAACGAATTTCTGATAGGAGCTCGCGCACTCGCGATGGCGGTACCATCTACCAGTCGCCATTGGCGACTTATCTACGCTTACCGATACTGCTCGCTTTTGATGGTAAGGGAAGAACACTCGTGACGCTCCATTTGACTTTATCTACTTATCTACTACTATTAAGTACATTGTTGCCTCGAAGTCGACATGATGCGGAGCTTTGGAGCACGCGTCGGTGTCGCGTACAGAACTCTCGTGCCGCGAAACTGTGTGAGTGCGATAGCTCCTAGAAATCTTCGCGCGTCCCAACCAGCCAAGCGCCAAGCTACGGGTCGAGACGTTGAGTATGTGTGCATTCGGCGCTACTCTCGACAAGTATGCGTGAGACTCGAAAACTGCGAAAAAACCTCCCGAGGCTTACTTAACTGCGGATATAAGCCGTGTCAATTCGCGCATGATTTTTACATTTCCCTACTAGCGTTATCGAGCGTTTTTAGGCGTTTCTAGAGCGTTTTTGAACGTCTTCGAATTTTTCGAGCGTTATCGACCATTATCAAGCGCTTTTCGACCGTTTTCCAGCGTTTTCGAGCGTTTCTCGATCACTTTCAGAGCGGTTTCGAGCGTTTTCGAACGTTTTAAGACCGTTTTTGAGCGCTACCGAGCATTTTCAACCGTTCTCAACTGTTTTTAGAGTGTTTTCGAACGTTTTCAGTGTTTTGGAGCGTTACCGAGAGCTCAATTTGAAGGTAAGAACCTTCCCCGTCGAGCTGCAAAAGTCGCAGTCGCGAAAAAAATTCCGCGGCGGCTGGGCGCCCCGGTAACCGGCGGCCAAATAAGTACTACCGAAATACGCTTAAAAACGCCCAGAAACGCCTAGGAACGCCAGAAAACGATTTCGAAGTTCAAAAACGCGTATCTCCTCTGAAAAAAATCGCA